ATGAATCTTGTTTACCAGCTCTTTTTCTGCCTAATGCTACATATACAGTACTGACCACTTAGAAGTCTATAATTTGTCTTAAGTATATTATTTATAGCTTGTTGTAAATGTACAGTAGAAAAACTCATAGTGACAGTAATCAGCTGCAGAGCTTAAGGTGAAGCACTGAAATGACTTAAATACCAACAGAAGAGAGTACATTTCTTAAAACTTGGAAAGTTCGTGGTTTTGTGTACCTTTAACCCATTTTCAGTGCTGCGTACAAAACCTTGCAGTATCTCAATCCAAAATGAATGTGGGATTTTTTAAAAAGAAGTCAACACCAAATTTCAATTTTTAAAAAATAAAATACAGCTGTCCATGGAAAAACAAAATGTTTTGATGCGTCACAGTCCAAATAAATTGCTCAAGAATCTCCAGCTTCAAAACTGTCACTGTCTAAGCCCAGAAGTGAATACGTATATCAACTGATGAGTCAGTGTATAATCAAAATGGTTATTTAACTATGGATGGAATTCAAAAACCACTTATTGGATATTTCAGCTATCTATTCAAAATGGTCAAACCAAATGCTAAAATAACAACAAAAAGCAACACCATCACCAAAACACCAGCAACAATTGTTATTATAATGATACATTATTAATGTAACAAACAGTAATGCCCAGGGTGTTCACAGAGATCTGAGTGCACGGCACTCAGTTCATCTGATAGGCAAATTTGACTTAAAAAGCCTCCACTGCTTCTCGGGACCATGCTGTATGAACACATGAACTTGAAGCACATGCACTAAGAACACACTAACAGCTAAAAGAAGTGCCCTCTATATCTTCTGCCTTCCTCCTGCCACAGAACTTTGAGAACAATCTAAAAGCAAAAAATGACCTAGAACAGTCTAGTTTGGATTCAGCTGCCTCATATCTTTCCATGCTTTCAAAGCATCCTAGTGCACTCTCAGTTCAGTGCGAGCAGAGGCATGGACAACCACAAACAAACAAGGTGGGGAGGGGGAGGTTGTAGGGAACACAGACATCATATCCCCACTAATCACAATCCACAGAGCATCGGCAATAATTTCATCATTTCTGTCATAAATTTGCCAGGGCTGCCATGAAACAGCTAACAATCTGGGCAATTTATTGGCATATTGGCAGGAGGTGATAAGGCTAAAAACAACAGCAGCTAGCAGCTGGTGAGTCGAGATGGGCTGATAACATTGATATGTGCTCCCATACAAAACACCTCCTCCCTTATCTGGGCTTTTTATCAAACTCTTATTACAATAAAGTGTATAGCTTTTTTATGGGGGGGGGGGGAGGCAGACAGGAAAGACCTGAAATACAAAAAAAGAAAAGAAAAAAAATCAGATGTAACGTTTCACAGAAAAAAAACAAGGGGAAAATACATAATTTATCACCGTATTATCAGGAAATCCAGGCAGCCTAATCAAGGAGCACTGAGTGACTATTTTTTGCCTTATCATCCAAAGTGGTGGAAACGGAGAAGGAATTATCAGCCTTCTGCAGATTGCTGGGTTGGAATTTTAATGGTAATAATCGGGTTTCTGATGGTATATCTTCTCCGCTTATCTTTCCCATTATCTCCCCTTATCATCCCAGTCATCAGAGCAAATTAATGGTGCTCTTTCAGCATTCCCTTTTTATCACAGCTCAGAGAGCACCCAAGGGGAAAGAATAAGCAAAATATTAAAATACTGCATAAATCACAATTTTAGATAACAGGGCAATGTATGCAGGGGAAAAAACTGTGCCCAACAACCTTTTTGTCCTTTAGAATGACTGTCTTCACTGACTTTCTGCATTCAGTCTTTTCAGCCTTTCCAGAGTTCCTGAGGTACAAAACACTGAGGCACTGACCTTTCTGCTGAAATCCATGTGTACAGTCCCCCGAATGCCTTGTTCTATGTGCAAGTATGGAATCAATCACACAACCTAATATTTCAAATCAATTAGTTTATCCATGCCAGTTAAAGAGGAATTCTCTAAGTCTTGTCTAAACCTCTAATCTTGTTTTGAATCCAATATATATGCCTGAGAACTCTGATTACTTCCAAGCAATTCAACCTGAGTAGAAAGGTTTTTTTCTTCTTAAAATGAAACAATGCACTGGTTTTATGGAGAGAAATACAATACAAACAAATGTCTGCTTAACAAGCAACGCATGTGCCACAGATACTATTGTACTATAAAACAGAGGTATCTATAAGAACAACGTACCCGCGTTAATATTTACGATCTTCCTAGTGGTTTGGATATACAGTCCAATTCTTTTTTAAATACTCAGCCATGAATAACCAAAATCTAGTCTCAAAATAAAGAAGAAAGGATAATGGCCTAGTACACCCTCTTCATTCACACTTCTACAAGAAAAGTCTTCATGTCTAACATACGAGAGGATATTATTAGCATAACGTCATTCTTCAGCTTTTGAATACTGTGTAAATTAAAGAAGATTATTCCACAAGCTTTTGGTATTTTAGCAGCAGCTGCATTTAAGTACTGAGGTATCTCATTCTATCAACAAGGCAGAAAAAATGGTCTGTAGATGACAGTTAATATAAGAGCAGTGAATACTAAATTAATGATTTCATTCAGCACACTGAAGAAGGTTATATTAGACATATACAAACATTTTTGTATTTCTATCCTTTTGTAGTTCAACAAGACTGCTGTATTGCAATCATCTACCTACAGTAATCAAAAGTACAGAAAACCACCCTGCTGATATATCTAAATTATTATTTTAAAAATGTTAATCAATCTGAAATGTTTTACACAGGTCACAGCTTTGACAGCGTAACTGACAGTTTGCTATAAGGCTGCTATTCGCCTGTTATTCATTATTTATATTTTTTTCCCATCATCAACTATAATGCACAAGTTAAGCCAGTCCTCATTCTTTTCATAATTTTTAAACTCGGACAAACTGGATTGATGGCATTCAGAAATGTTCTGTCTAAACATTTTCAGAGATTTCTTCAACCTCAAAACCAAGCTGCTCTATTTATATAATTAAGTGAAAAAATAGGAGCAAATGGTGTTTCCCCTCCTACTACAAACTATCAATCCCAATCATTAAAAAACACAGATATATAAGGCAACAGCAAACTCGTTTAGAAAAGGGTAAAAAGAACTGTTGCACAAATGAAGCCATGATTACTGTATGTACTATACATTTCTCATTGGACACAACAAAATATTGCACAAACATATACAATCCAAAAAGATAAAAGCAAAAAGAAATTAAAACATTATTTTTGAATTGCATTCCCATACATGAAGGTTGTATTAAACGTGCACAATACTGTCTTTCACCTGCCTAATCAGAGACACATGTCAATCAACGCGAGAGACACACAAAAAAGGATCCCCATGACTTCTAAAAATGAATCTTGATTTTGAGAATCCAATGAAGGCAGGTACGTCTACTTGTACTTCTAAAAAAACACTGAATACTGAAATCTATTCAATGTTTCCCACACTACAGTAGATCAATAAAACTGTGAATAGCGAACACTTCAGCATGTTCAAGACAAGTTAATTACAGCACATCAGTGAACAATAACCAACCTGATAAAGATATCTGGATCGGTTCGTAAAACGTTTTAAGACTGGATCCTTTTAGCAGCATATCTTTTTTAAAGAAATTGATACACTTCCATTTTTTTCAGTTTTAAATGTTATTTTTTCTCAACCAATAAATCTACTGTATTTAAAATATACCGTGCTCTTTAAATGGTATCGGTTAAATCAAATGATGACGTCTTATTATCTTATCAATAAAGTAAAGTTATTCCCCGTAAATTAAAGTTACACAATTGTTCGTCTAAGACTTAGAATTAATTCAGCCTTAATTTTATTTTACAACCGTTTTGTTTTTGTTTTTCTCAAGAGGGTGTTTCTACTGTATGAACTTATCTGAAAGGCCTTTATATATACAGTACAGTACGTATGAACTTCACGAAAATGGCATTTGGGGTATATTGACGCTGTTGTTCAACAGACCATTGAACAATATACTCTAGGTTACAAGAAAAATGTAAGATTATCCAATAATTATTTTGTTGTGGTAATGAGTACTAACAAGAACATTAATTCAATTGCAAAAGAAAAACAGCTTAGAGCTCTGAATTATAATAATTCAAGTATTATTTACGGTAGGTGAGTTATTAAATGTAATTGTATACGATACTCTACGAAAATCAGTTGTTTTTTGAGATTCCGACAGTTATCATCATGGGTTTTTCATAATGATAAAGCCAAAAAATCAAAAACGTAAGGTTCAAAATGTTAATACTATTTCACATCAAACAAGGTGTTGCGCTGTGAACTTCATTACAATATTCGTAACTGTAATTCGTAACAATAACAGTAACTCAGAAACAGAAAAAAAAGAAAATCTTATTCAGTTAAAAGAGTCTTATCCTAATGAGCTAATGCTAGGTACTGGAAAATTATTATTATTATTATTATTATTATTATTATTACTACTACTACTACTACTACATCTACCAATAGACCGTCTTAATCACAGCACTGAAGTCAACATCTGTTTATATTAAATGTGTAGATTGGTTTACATCAGAATTGCAATATAACAGTTTTTATGATGTCATATTTTTTCCAGTAACAGAAAACTCAGCCGAACTTCCACAAAGTGCACCAGCCTAGCATCTACCAGCCTCAAAACTTCGAGCACAGTTGGCAAGTTAGGGGAAAACACACATTTATAACACAATTATAAGAAGACAGGTCATTGACGACAGGTAAGCCAAATGCATAATAACAAGGGAACAAAAACCCAAACTCTCAAATAACAGCGTATATGTAAAACGTAAAAACAGGGACGCTTAAATCTTTAGCAACATCCGAAACAAGACAATACGGCCTTAGAACTAAAGCGAGCTTTTTTACCGTCCTATAACTTTTTCTAGAGCATTTAACAGATTTAACAATACAGCAAAGCGGAAAAAAACTCACGTTTGATCTGCCTTGGGTTGCTCTGTTTCCTTCGGGACATGGCTGCTCTGTGCTGGTCAGTGGATCCAGGTGTAGCACTGACAGATCGATAGGTTTTGGTTCATCCAAGCGCCAATCAATGCCTGGGGTTTGAGATGAAAATGAAATGGGGGGAAAAGGGACGAATTGGGATCACTCTTGTTTCACTCTCCCCCTCTCTCTCTCTCTCCGTCTCTTTTACTCTCTCCTTCTTCTCTCGCTTGCTCGCTCCCTCTTAACTACTCACTCTTTCTTCTCTACTGTTCTCCGAGATGAAGCTGCACAGAGCTGCGATCCGCACGGACTGACTGAAGAGGTGAAAGCGTTTCGCGCTTTTGTTTGAAGATAAGGTTTGTGCCTCCCCGGGTGCCGTAGCCACAGCCACTGAACTTGAATGACCATGTGCTGCTGAAGTGTTGCCTTTTTAGTATCTTTTCACTGGCCATAGGTATTGAAGGGGAGTTCGACAATTTTTAGCTATTAAGTCACCTGCTATTTTTTGCAGCAGAGGAAATCAGTCTGGAGTAATATAAAATTATGACTGAGAGACTGTATTACTGAGCCTGAATGACATGTTCTATCTAAAACTGAACATGCATTAGACTGCTTCAGAAGACAAGATGTATATTAATATGATTTTTAAAGTATTTGAATTTTGTAATGCATCTGGTTTTTATGTACAATTTAAATGCATCATGCATAAATAATCAAGTGAAAATAGATGTAAAATAACCGATCATAACGTAGTTCTGATAGCACACGTTTAACTCTAAAGAGATTATTGTCTGAGAAATGAAATTGCTTTGAGCTGAAATGATACATGTGTGCTCTCCTGCAGTATTCGTGCTTTAAGGCATTAGGGAAATGCATCTATGAATTATATAGTTTTAAATCAGCAGCTGCAGCGTATACTTTTTCGTAAAACAATTCACTATAGTCTCCAAAATATGACTTTAATAAAGAGCAACAACAATTATCTACAACACTGACGTGACACTGATTGGAACCTAATTAGAATATATTTAAAATATCAGATTAAGTAAAAATTTAATTGAAACTGTTTTTTAAAGAAAATTAGGCATTTATGAAACGTATACAGGCCCTAGGTGTCACTTAATGATATCATGTCTTTAAGTGGTATTATTAAAAGATCCTTGTAGTTTGCCTTCGGATTTTCAACCAATTAACAAATACAGGCACACGGTCTAAACCTGACTGAACACAATGCTAAAAAAAATCAAATGAAAATGGCTGAGGGCTGTACAAAGGTATTCTTTTCAGGATGTGTGATTACGGTATCTAAAACTGATAGTCAGCCTTGTATCTTACGACTCTTTAAACATTGATCAAATGTAACAGCGTTTACCCCTGAAACAGTACATAAAAATCGAAATCAAATAGTTTAAATACTCAATAAAAATAACTTTCCGATGGATCACTATGCTGCACTGTTCACAAGACGCTAATGACAACAATAAAATATATATTTTTAAATCACTGTCGTGGTAGATGTGAGTTGATGCGTGTTGTGTTGTGTGTCTTCAGACGTTCTCACTTTTATTTCAGGTGATGCATTTAACTGCACATCTCGAGCAGTTTCGTGGATGCATACTAATGTAGCATTTATCACCTGTTGGGTTGATCCGCTTCATTCACGCTGACAACATGAACAAGTAATAATGATATCAAGTATTATTGCAAAACACTGAGCGTTTCTTTAAGTTTGATCTTCTTAAAGACTGATACTGTAACTGTCCCCTCTGTATTATTGTTTCAGTATTGTATTTCATCTTCCATTATGACGTCTGTAGGCTGTATTTAGTTGCATGAAAGTGCTCTAAATATTAAAAGATAAAAGTACACAAATGTGAGCTGATTATATTTTATAGCAAGAAGATGTGAATATTTTTAAATTTCCTAACTTGTATGTTTCATTTTCCACACATTTCTTTAGCTTAAATTAAATAAGTCTGAGCGCTTACTGTGTTCTTAAATTCGTCGAAAGCGTACAGTTCCATACACACATGGTTGAGATTGTATTTTCTTCTTCATTTCATCGCCATAAGAGCAAAGGTGTATTTTTTCTTGTTTAATACATAATCACGGTTCTTCTTGTTCCTTGTTCTAGTGAGTGCGTGGAGTCTGCGAAACACGTTATCAGTTTAAAAGAGGTGTTGCCGAGAGTCAGTGCAATTAAGCATCCTTTCACACCTGTAAACTTTTCGAGTACTTGAAGTATTTTAGCAATTTCTGTTTACGGTTGTCAGTCTAATTTACAGAAAGGTCATATTTTTTTTTAAAGAATAATGGAATCTCTTAAAACAACTATCCATCAATAGAACGCTGTATTATTATTATTGGTACAAAAGAGAGATATTAAATGATTTTGACCAGTTATGTGTTTCGAAGCATACTTTGAAGTGGAAAACAAATATACGTGGAAAATTCAGAATATGCTCTTTTTTGTTAAATGTACAGGTATTAGTTCATACCGTTACCTTAGATGTGTTATCTAAAACACATCCAAAGTTACTGCAGCACACCTAGGATGCTTTTATCTCTAATTTATAACTGCCGTCAGAATTGTGGTTTTTGAAATCATTAACAAATCGCATTATTTTCAGAGTAAAACCACGAGATAAAAAGAATGTTATTTGGAAAAGAAAAACTTCAAGTAACTAAACACGCATGTTGATTTCCATAAAAGATTCGCCTGTCAACTGAAGCAGATCAGCGTTGTTGCAGTCACAGCAAGACGCTTTTTTCTCCTTTTGAGGTCCAGTATATACTGAGGAGTTACATACCGTATATTTTCTTTGCCAAAAGCTTTGGTGTTCCATAGCCCCACCGTATCCAAACACCTTTTAAAAAGTCAATTAACGCTCTACAAAAAAATAAAAATAAAAATCGGGCTAACGCAAATTCCTCAATATCTAAGAAAACAAATTCTAGAAGTCGAAACTTTATTTTTTTCCCCCAAAATGTATTAAATTCTTTTTAGTAGTGAGGGAATTTAAGTGCGAGAGAAAGTGAGAATTCCTTAACTTAAAGGATCGCGAAGTGTATTCATCAATGTTTCCTTACCAGCATACTTGGGGAGACAATCAAAAGTTAGTCTTTCATTCTAAATGTAGGATAATTCTAGAACTGATCATTTTCCCTTTTCCTTTCATCTGCAATGTTTGTTCCCGCATTTCGCGGTGCTGTGCCAGTGGAAGGGATTTGACACTTGCCTTGTCTTTGTGTGAATCACTTGCCAGGATCACTAGTGTTCCCGGCAGCACAGGGCATCGTTGCACAGTCGTTAAGGATTCATACAGACTCTCTCTCAGGGGAGCAGTAAAGAAAAAAAAAACACAATTCAGTTTCTTTTTTTTACATCATCTTTGAAATATACTGTATGTCAGATTTATCTAATGTAATTCACCGAGTAATTATAAAACGATACCCCCTACACCTTGAGTAACATATAATTAAAATTAGGATTGAAACTACTCTCGTCCTTTTGTTGTATTAAACAAATCTGTTTGCTTTTGGAATGTGAAGTCAGTACACTTTCTCCTAAAGTTACGTGGTTTATTTCACAAATTATTTTCTTAGCTTTCTTGTCAAAACAATATAAACACACAAGCCAAATTCTTGCACAAAATGAAATAGTTCTTTACGGTTTTTTTATGCTTGTTGTATTCTAAATAATTCTTCCACCTATCATCTTTCATAAGTTTTAAATAATCAATGTGCAACTTTTGAGGTATACTGAGATAAATTAATGTTCAAAAGCTCTATGGATCATCAAGACTATATTAATCACATGAAAACCACTTCGAAAATGCAGAAGTGTTTGAAGAAAATATCTTTATTGTTTCCTTGCAGAAAAAGGATAATTTCAAAAAGGATTTACGAATTTTGGAATTCATTTTGGAAGATATGGAGAAGAAGAGACAGAGATACACTGAGCTACATTGTAAGAAATCCTACTCTGTTATCAGATTGGTTCTGAGCTCACTGACCTCAGTGTCATACTGTATGTGAAGAGTTCCTGTTTCTTTCTCAAATTATCACAGTCTTGGATTTCTGAATTTTATTGCACAGGTGTTTGAAAGGTATACTATTGTTAAAACAAACAGGGCAGGCACATCACTGGTAAGGCTTTTCTCGTCTTTAATTCTAATATGAACTTAATGTGGAGCAAATTCCTTAGGATACTGTACATGTATTGTCTTGGTTGATTTATTAAAAGCTGTGTTTTTTATCCTACATGTAAATTGCCTTTTTTTTTAAAACAACAGCATTTTTTATATTTTCAGATTTTTCTCAAGCTCAATTTCTTTACAATAAAGTAAAATCTGCACCGATCTGATCAAACTTATAGCTGTGATACGACATTCCTTTCTTAATTAACTCTGACAAAATATTTATGTCACACAACCACACCAGATCAACACCTGATGTTTCTACACACAATGTTATACTGAATGCTTTGTCAAATTATTTGTGAACAACTGATCTCGTTGTGTCAGGAGAGTTTCAGGCTTACCGTATAATTTTAGATTTGGTGGAGATGATGAGAACAAGCGAATGTAATGTTATTTTACCTGCTCATAAATAAACCTGTTTTTGTTTTTCTTTGTTTTTTTGTTATTGCTTCACACATTTTGGATTAAACTGTCTTTACTATGAGAATGCTATTGGAATAATCTATATCTTACCTACCACTTGGAAATATTTCAGATAAATAATGGACCAAAAGGATTATTTGATGTGCTGTTTCTCATAATAACTAGTCATCTTCATATTTTAATTCTAATCCTCATATCTTGTGTTTACCATAAACTGATAAAAACGTACAGCTTTAGGGGAAAAATATTTGTTGCATATACAGTACATTCTTCAATGGTTTGTTTCAAACAGTGTCATTCTTCTTCAGTTTACAGTATATCATTAAACAGGGAAAACACTTAAACAATAGCACAGAAGGAGACAGTGGGTTCTTGTTTATTAAAAGCTGCTCTGGTCTTAAACCATCATTTTGGATGTTCTTTATGTATGTACAGCAAATGAGTTATGTTGGAGATGTCTAGGTGCTAAGGGTTGATAGATTATTGTAGTCTTTGTTATTTTTTTCTGCATTGTTTGACCACTAACATTATATTAAGAATGACAAAAATGGAAAGTTATTATTTTCGAGTTTCTTTAATGTGAATAATATCAACACTGTGGTATTGTAATTGACTCATAAATCTAAAGATAACAATAGCTAACAGTGGGAAAAGCTATGTAGTTAATTTCCAGAATCATAAATTCAGTTTTCAAAATGGTCTTTTTAAAAATAAAATAGTGCTTTCTGGAAAGGAACGATTAAAAAAAAACTTGCTTCGTCATAAGAAAGCTTTTTTATCATCATTACTCAGATTTTAAGTATCATTTCTTAAACAGTTGCAGAGACTGGAAATCGCCTTCCTCAATTAGCCAGTTGAACTGTCAAGTAAGACAAGCAAGTCGCCTGTGAAATTATCTTGTAACCCAATTTCAGGACTTTGGAATGGAGT